TTTTCTAAAATTACCCAGTTTTTTAAAGCAGTTAAAAGATGATCATAGTGATATCGATGTGTTTAGGTGGAACATTGAATATTTAGAATTGGGCTATAAAGGATGACAAAACACTGCGCAAGGTATTCCATAATACATTATCAACCAACCACTATTTGTCTGCTGGCGTAGGACTCTGTAGCGGTCAAGTGAAACCATTAAAAAAATGCAAATAATTTTTAGTTTTGGAACATTGAAGGTTTTCTGCCTATTTTTGTGAGATGACCATAGAAAGCATAAGAATCTGAATCAACTTTCAAACTACTCGCACATCACCGTCAGTGATTTTGATATATGGTTGTGTAGTATAAAGACAGTTGAATAGCCAACTATAAAGTACAGTTTACGACTAACAAAAAATGTATTTGTAAATAATTATTGAAAATGTTTATTTATTGTTGTTCTCCATTATTCCACAATTTTAGCTTTCTTTTCTTGATTCTTTTAAAGGTTCTGCGAAAAATCGAACGATAGAATGCGGAAGAGCAAAAAAAATAAGTTTGCTGGAAGAGATTTTCAAATAGATGTTTCTAAGCTTTCAGTGATCTTTTAATAACCTCTTTTAAAGTGGCCGTGTTAGAACACTTACATAATGCGAAGAATAGGCTGGGAATTCAAGCGCTTATTATCACAAACAGACGGTTTTTGGTAAAGTTACTATCGTCTTGGGAATGATATATTATCTAGATGAGAGGAAAAGCTGAAAATTTTGGGAGCAATCAGTGGTAATAACATTTTTTGTTCATATACCAAAATTTTATTGCTATTTTTAAAAAACTTATTCAAAAGTAACGAACAGCAGTACGGTTCTTGATATATTAATTATTGTTTTTACTCCAAAAACCTTCAGTTCATTCTTTAACAAATACTATTTCAATAAGTCAGTGGAAGCTTATATCGCTATAATCCGCAACATTTTAAATGACATTTTCAGAAAACAGAGTATTTGCGTTGTCATGAATGCAGAAAAGAAAGAAGAACAAAAAGGCAACATTGAACTTAGTTTATGTAAGTTGTATTGCTGATGTAATGTTGCTAACTGTGGTTTTTAAGTGGTCTTTAGAAAGCATTTACTTTACAAGGCAATCAAAAATAATGAACGAGGGATTGTTACAACTAATGTTCAAAGCAAACAAAAATGATAGATGAGCCAAAAGTATCATTTAGTGGTTGCAGATTCTTTAATTCTGCTGTGTCGCAAAATTTTACTAATATTTTCATTATTACTGGTCAATCGCTCTTTTTTTTTTTTTTTTTTTT